TAGCTCTTATAGTCTCTGAGATCTAGGTGATCATACGGACGGACGGACAGACGGACAGACAGGGCTAAATCGATTCGTCTTGTCATGCTGATCAAGAATATATATACTTTGTGGGGTCTACCACTGTTTCTTCTTCTGCCTGTTACATTTTTCAGCTCGCGCAAACCTAATATACTCTTGTACATTTCATGTACAGAGTATAAAAATAAAATAAACTCCTGTTGCATGGGCATCTACATAAACGGCTTAGCTGTTTCCGATCTCCAACAAAATTCAAGGCTGTAAATGCTTCCTTCTCCCTGTTATATACTTTACAAAAACCTAACACCAAGATCATTCAATTAAAATAAACATTGATGCAATATCAAAACTCTTAAAAATGACAATTGAAAACAAGAAAGGAATGCTAAGGAAAACGAAAAAAATTTAAATTAATTTTTTATTTATCTATTATTATATTTACAAATTATTCAATACAAATACTATACAAAAGTGGAGACATGTTCATGTACAGTTTCAACAGCATACATTTACATCAGATGCGTGTATGCAGGAAAGGTTGAACCAAAGCAGCAACAACAACAACAGCTGCGGGCAGAGGTGCAGGCAGAGCATGGGCAGCGATTTTATGTATGGCTATAACTTTCTTCAAAATTGACCAATCATGATGAAACTTAGCATACAGGTACATAAGCACTAACTGGATGTAACTACCAAAATTGATTTCAAAATTCCAAGAAACACGGAACTTAAGGCTATAATAATCCCTGCGGGATAAATTTAAGGGGCAATGAAGCCATTTTTATTTGAATTTATTGTAATCTTGATAAAAACTTGAACTGAAAAAGCACTCCTAAAAAATGTGTTCAATTTTTAAGTAAGGAGTTTCGTCTTGCAAGAATTTTTGTGCAGTTAGTTAGGAGTGGACTCACAAAAAAACCTATAGTATGTGAAGGTATAGTACGTAAAGGGAAACATATGTACATATAGTCCTCTTTGTCTGGCCGCATCTTAAAAGCCGCTATATTTAAAACGTAACACTTATATTTTATCTGCATGGAAGCTCGTTTTAAAAGAGTAATTCAACTCAACAAAGAATTCAAAAAGAATTATATGTAACATATATTAATTTGCATATTTGGCCGAAACGATTTGTCTGTATTTGGGTTCGCCACATAAATTATCACGCAGTGAAAATAGTTTTCAAATATCCAAATTATGCACACGGCCAGCAGCTTATTAGAGGAACCTGCCCCCGACTGCAGACACCCATACATATCGATAAATTACAAGGCTGTTGACAACACCCCAACACACACACACACACGCACACACTTTGTTACACATCCACACTAATTTCTATTGTAGGTGTTACAGGCTGTAGTTCCTATTGGCCACAAATTATATGCAAGTTATAAATCACGACGTCGACGACGACTGCAAAAATGTTCAGCAGCACATTAATTGTTGCAACGTCATTTTCGGGCCTATTGTGTAACCGTGGAGAGCCCAAATAGAAGGCGCAACGTCTGGCCTTTGTGTGTGTGCTTGTGTGTATGTATAGGCTTGCGTGTGTGTGTGTGTGTGTTCGTTCAGTCGCCTTTTATGCGATGTGGCAATTTTGCAAAAGGAATTCCAACAATGTAGACGTTTTTACAACAGTTGGGGATCACGAAAAAAAGAAGGCAACTATTTTTTTTTTTTTTTTTTTTTTTGCATGGCGTAAATGTGTTTTGAAGTTGTAAGCCGGTAAGTCCTTTTTGCATGGGTGTGTGAGAGTCGGCTGTAATGAAATGCTACTGTTTAGTGGCAGGATTTGTCAAAGGCGCGACGACATAAAGCTCCGACGCTTTTGAACATTTTCATAAATTTCCATTTCAAAAGTAAAAAAAACTAATGTGGAATTTTAATCCGCTTTCACTTATATTATCATTTTTCATTTCATGAATATCTAGGCAACAAATTATTCTCCATATATTCGTTAGTTTGCAACTTTTCACCACGACTTCTAAATCTAAGAACTTTCTGTAACTACACTGGGCTGTAAATATATTTATAGATGTACATACTTGTAGGTAGGTCGAAGAGTAGAAAGCTATAATAAATCGATTCTAATTTATATAAAGCACCGATTTGTAGTTAAGTTCAAAATATAGTGAGGCATTCAATAATGTCATAAATACAAAGCGTTGTTATTCTCGACATATGTATATGTACGTATAATATAGATTATGAGGGCAGTCCGAAATGTTTCTAGTCGGGCCATGAAGACGACCTCATTAACCAAACTCTGGTATTGTGATAAGGCATCTTTAAATGTGTTTTTGCCAAAATTTCAATCATTTCGACATTATAGATATCGTTCAACAACTAAGTCCATATCTGTACTTCTGTAAAAATGGAATAAAGAGAGAGAGAGAGAGAGAGAGAGAGAGAGAGAGAGAGAGAGAGAGAGATAGTGTCAATAACAAAGATGCCTAAAAGCCACGTGTGCCATACATTGATCAACGAACATAACGGCTTTGCTGACTTTTGGTCAAGAACGTGTTTCCATACGTTCATATAGCCATACAAAAATCCATGACAGAAATTTAAATCAAATGAGGAGGTTATAAGCTTCGTTTTCCATTTTGAGGAGCAGAACGACGAATACCTTTTGGAAGTGCCAGCAACATTTTCGACTGCCTTAAAATATCCCATATTTTGTACCATAAATCTTGAAATACTTTTTAAATACGACTTAACTGTGCAGTCTGATTGGAAAAGTAGTCAGCGAAATCAAGTTTCTGATAGCACCCCCGGCTTATTCAAACACTTGTAAAAGTCCTTATTCCAAAGCTGGATATAAACGTTTTAACATACATATTACTTATTAAGTTTTGGGAAACAATCAAACACAAACATACACGATATGTATGCATATTTACCGATTTATGTGCAATTCTGTGTTTTTGTTGGGTACCAAATATCACATAAAATGCAGGCACAGCTCACAATCACATGTACATACATATGTATATATATACATATGTATGTATTTATATATTCTTGTGTATAAACTTACGCAGTGGTATGAACAAAAACAGCAAAAGGGCGTCGTTAATATTTCAAAAACAGATACAAGCAAACAAAACAGACAGGAGCGTACAAAGAGCATCGACAGAGGAGCAACAACAACAAAAACACTTCCGACAATTGCTGCTGCATGCGTCGTGCTGTTCAAGTGCCAGCCTCGTATTCCATCCACTGCCCCTTACATTACACTTACTTGTATACATACATACATATGTATGTATATACTATACCCACGGACACACGCCAATTGACAATTGACTTTTGGAGCAAAATATTAAGGCATATTTGTTGCTTGGTCAGCACAAAAGGTGAAACGGACAACAGCAAATTAGAGCGCGATTGTGGAGGAGATGGAGCTCCGTATCACACAAAATCCAACATCCTTGCAAGGAGCGCCAAGACGCGTCAAGTGGGATCCGCAGTTGTGGCTACTTTTAGCAATTTATAGCCACAACGCACACATACAAACAAACGTGTGTACAAATGTATGTACATATGTATGTATGTATGTATATATGTGCCAACGACTTGACTGCACATGCTTCTCAATTACAGCAGATACGCTCGCACACATACAGACAAGCAATCAGGCAATCAAGAACAAGAGATGCCAGCCAGGTGGCGCTTTGTGGGGTTGAGATGTCGCACCATTTCCATGTAAAGAATGGCACGATGGTTGCTTTAAATTAATTGTTGGCGGCTTATATACATATATGTATACATATGTATGTATATACATACATAGATAAGATTACTGTGCGCCAACTCAATTTATTACATGCTGTCAAAGTTCAAAAGGCACCTTTGGCGTCAAACATATGCATTTACATACATACATATGCACTATGTATGTATGTATGTTGGCAACTACCTTAATGTTAGTAAGAAACGAAGATATGTACATATTGTATGTATCTCTAACCTGTTGCAAAGTTCACGCTTCCATTTGATGCCGGTTACTTCCATTACAGTCTTTATTTAAAATATTAGTGACACATTACCAAAATATTAAACACAATTCTTTGCCACAAACATCAGTCCCGCACAACCATAATTTATTTAGCAAAACCAAACCGAACTGTACATGTTTCAATTCCAAAGCATTTCGTGCAAACAATATAGATAGGCGCTTTGCACGAGTAAATAAATTATAGGGGTGCCCAATTATAGAACAAGTAGCGATCTTTAATACCTTAAAGACAACGAATATAAAGCCGTGATTATAACAGCAAAATATTGCGGCTAATTGTTTGATCATGTTAAAACTAATTGTAGGAAAGAACAATTTTTGACTTGTGTTCGAGATTTACTTTCGCTGATTAGCTGTTAATTTGTGGCTCATTTAAAAGCTTAACAGTTTTGATTTTTGTTAATGAAAAGAAAACGTATTATCAAATTCGTTTGAGGTGCGTACTTAAAAAGCCAACCATTTAAGTCTTTTCTATGAAATATTTTTCAATTTTAGAATTTGTCAAATGCATATAATATTTTAATAGTACAAATATCATGTGTACATATCTGGAGATTTATTTCTATATTTTATTCTTACTGTAATATTAAAATTCACATTCACACCATTAAATTCTTTTGGATGAACTATTTTTAAATTGTAGAATTTTTTAAATGCATTTAATATTTTAATAGTAAAAATATCATCTGGAGATTTATTTTTATATTTTATTCTTACTGTAATATTGAAATTCACATTCAGTTTAACATTTTTTGTAAAGTGTGTACGGAAAGAAATCGAATTTACTCGTAATATTTTTTTGTGCAATTCAATTTTATTTAAAGCAGTATTTTTCCCGCATTTAGAAATTTGCCGCCCTTAAAAAATTAACGGAGTGGCACCGCTGTCATCATATCGATAGGCGCATTGGTTTTTCGATTCGCGCATATCGATACTGTAATATAAGCTACGGTCACACAATAGAGCCGCATAAAATGTTAGCTTCGCAACTTTGTTAAAAATTAATAGCAAATAAAACATGGAAAGCATTATTGCGCGTAGTTCGTTTGTGTCGGAAACGGCCAATTTGTTCACGGATGAAAAGACTGCCACTGCACGTGCCAGGGTAATTACAATTGATGCCGGTCTCACGCTTTCAACTTTTTGTTCCCTAATCTCACGTTGTATGTCGGCTACAGGTTGTGGAATGGTGTAATGAATTTTCGACAGCCAGCCCCTCTGGGAAATGCGAGCTGCTGGTGAAGGTGCAGGAAACCATTCTAGGTTCCTGCATAGAGCTGATTGAAGAATTTCTGGAACCGGTGCTTTCGCTGGCCCATGACCAGAACATGGAAGTACGCAAACAAGTGGTGGCCTTTGTGGAGCAGACTTGGTAGCTACCAATGGGAATATTGAATAATGAACGGTTAACTTACAATTCCCTTGCAGCAAGGTGAAGGTTGAACTTCTGCCCTATGTTATCAACATAATATCCATGATGCTGCGCGACAGTTCAGCACAGGTGATAAAACGAGTCATCCAGGCCTGTGGTAGTATCTATAAGAACGGATTGCAATGGCTGTGTACTCTCAGCGATCCCACGGACAGTGCCGAACAGGCCTGGAATGTCCTCAGCTTGGTCAAAGCTCAAGTGCTTGACATGATTGACAATGAAAACGATGGTATACGTACTAATGCCATTAAATTCCTTGAGGGCATCATTGTGCTACAAAGCTATTCGGATGAGGATAGTCTTAAGCGAGAGAGCGATTTCTCCTTAGCCGATGTGCCTGAGCAATGCCAACTGTTTCGTCGTCAGAAGCTTCAGGAGGAGGGCAACAATATATTCGATATATTGCTGCAATTTCATGGTGCCACGCACATCTCTTCGGTGAATCTAATTGCATGCACCAGCAGTCTCTGCACTATTGCCAAAATGCGTCCCGTTTTTATGGGGCCTGTAGTAGAGGCTTTCAAGCAACTAAATGCCAATCTCCCGCCCACCTTGACTGACTCCCAAGTCAGTTCTGTGCGAAAGAGCTTAAAGATGCAGCTCCAGACATTGCTCAAGAATCGAGCCTCATTTGAATATGTCAGCAGCATACGTGCCATGCTTCTTGACTTGGGCGCTTCACAAAATGAAATACAGAAACTTATGCCGAAAATGGACAAGCAAGAGGTGGCGCGTCGACAGAAGCGTCTACTTGAGAATGCCGCGCAAAGCTTGGCGAAAAAGGCGCGTTTAGCGGACCAGCAAAAACAGCAGCGAGAACGCGAAATGGAAATCGATGCGGATGAGTTGGAGAAGCAGCGTCAGAAGTCATTGCGCGTCAATGAGAAATTTCTGACCGAACACCTGCGTACCCCGGAGACCGTCATTAATTTGGTCATTGAATTCTTGCCTGAGCTGCCTCCAGAGGCGCCTGCACAATTCCTTAATGATTATACGCCCATCAAGCAACTCAACATGCAGCAACAAGTGAGCCACATTTCCCGACTCTTTGCCCAGCAATTAACGGAACAAAAATTGGGACCAGGAGCCTCCGCTTTCAGCAAAGAACCGCCATTGCGGCCCAAGCAAACACAACCCATGGACGTGGATGTGCCGCCCGTAATCGAGGGAACCGGCAAACTTTCGGAGGAGGAACAGCAGCGTAAGGAGGAGGCTACCAAAAAGCTACGCGAGACCATGGAACGAGCAAAGGGGGAACAAACTGTTATCGAGCGCATGAAAGAACGTGCCAAAGCACTCAAGCTGCAGGAGATTACAAAGCCACTTTCACGTAACGTCAAAGAGCAATTTCTTCTGGGCGCTGTGAAGCGCATCCTAAACTCGGAGCGTCAGTGCATCATGGGTGGTGTCGCTGCAAAACGACGCAAACTGGTTACAGTGATTGCCGCCACATTCCCAGATAATGTGCGCTATGGAATTTTGAAATTTATACTGGAGGATATTAAGCAAAGAATAGACCTGGCCTTCTCCTGGCTCTTCGAAGAGTACTCACTGCTGCAGGGCTTCACACGACACACCTATGTAAAAACAGAGAATCGTCCCGACCATGCGTATAATGAATTGTTAAGTCAACTGATAAATGGAATTGGACAGCGTTGTGAATACAAAGATAAAATTATACTCCTGCGTCGCATTTATTTAGAGGCGCCTATTCTGCCAGAGGACTCCATTGCCCAGTTGCTGCAGATGAGTTTAGTGGAGGAGTTTACACAGCATGGCTTGGAGTTGGTTAAGGATTTGGCTGTGCTGCGTCCGCCGCGAAAAAATCGCTTTGTCCGCATGCTCCTACAGTGTGCTGTCCACGAGCGTCCTGACTTGCGGGAACGCGCGTTGGTTCATCTGGTGGCTCTATATCATGTGCATAAGATACTCCCAACCCGTATTGATGAGTTTGCCATTGAGTGGATTTCATTCCTCGAACAGGATACACCACCAAACGCTATATTTTCGGCTGATTATGGCAGACCAACGCCCGAAATGGCCTGGAAGGAAGACACTACAAAGATTTGTCTAGTGGTCGCCCTAACCTTGCTGCCTTATAATCCGGAAGGTGTGTATAAAACAAACATTATACTACCAATAACCTATTCTATCATAACACAACATTCTTTTTAATATTAGGTAATGTTTCCAAAATTTCTGATAAATCAATTCAATGCTTTTAGCATTAAGTATTGGTATAGTATTTGAAAAGTTACTTTTTCTTTTTGACATATCGTCTGAAGTGATTTAAAAGTTCAGCCCTTAAGCTTGCAAATTGCATGATCTGTCCAAGTTATATATTTCCTGTAGAAATTAAGTATATGTACGCTATATTGATAGGAACTTTCTAGTTCAGAAATAAGTGTGTTTTAACCACAGACTCCAACGAAAACGTACAACAGTTGCTGTTTGAATCGTACATTATTAAAAACTCTCAACCGAAGTTTTTTCAAAAACATAAATTATCATTATGCTATCGATTTTAGATTTCAAAATAGTAATAATCCGTTCCTATTGCCATTTTTGATTCTTTAAGTTTTACATGATTTAAATAATCCTTTCCCCCTTCTATGCCGTGTATTATTTTTAATTAAGTATCAGAATCCCCATTCTGGAGTCGAATTCTTATCACTTGCTTTTCTTTCCCAGTTTATTTGGCCAAACTCTGTCAAGTCTTTGTGGCTTCCTCAGCTGAACTGAAACGCACAATTCTACGGTCCATAGACTCTTCTATTAAAAAGCTGGGCGTGGAAAATGAGACGCTGCTCAAACTAATCGAGGACTGCCCTAAGGGCGTGGAAACTTTGGTCATACGCATCATCTATATTTTAACAGAACGGGTGCCCACACCGCATGCAGATTTGGTGCGTCGGGTACGGGACCTTTATCATAACAAAGTGAAGGATGTGCGCGTGCTTATTCCCGTGCTGAGCGGTCTTTCACGTACGGAACTTATCACAGTGCTGCCGAAGCTGATCAAATTGAATCCCGCTGTGGTCAAGGAGGTGTTCAATCGTCTGTTGGGCATTGGCGCCGAGTTTGCCAATCAAACGATGGCTATTACTCCTACAGATATACTGGTGGCTTTACATACCATTGATCCGAGTGTTTGCGATCTGAAGGCTGTAGTCAAGGCCACCTCAATTTGTCTGGCCGAACGAGAGGTTTACACTCAGGATGTTCTCATTGGAGTCCTACAGCAACTGGTAGAGGTTATTCCTGTGCCCACGCTTCTCATGCGCACCATCATTCAGAGCCTCACACTCTATCCACGACTCTCAAATTTCATTTTAAATCTGCTGCAGCGGCTGATCCTAAAGCAAGTGTGGCGACAAAAGGTCATCTGGGAGGGTTTCCTCAAGACAGTGCAGCGTTTGAAGCCTCAATCGTTGCCGGTATTGCTGCAATTGCCGCCTCAACAACTCATGGATGCCCTGCAGCAATGTCCGGAGCTGCGGCCTGCCTTGTTGGAGTACGCGGAGAGCATACAGGATGAGCCCATGAGCGGAATAACGCAACAGATATTAGACATCATAACAGGAAAATCGGTGGAAGTGTTTGTGACGGTAAGTTTGATGCCCAAATATTTTTATTTTGTAATTTGTTTGGTTTTAATTAATGAACCCACAACACACCAAAAATATTATTCATATAATAATAGAAGTAATTTAGTAGTAAATATAAGCTGTTCTTGTTCACACTTTATATTTGCATCACGTGAAGACCCGCCTACGGATTATTTCGATTTATGTTAAATACTTTATGGATGAAGAAATGAATACCTTTTCTTGTGATTGCATGATTATTCGCCCGGGGTCATAGTCGTATGGAATTCCAAGAATTAAGTTATATAAATGCGTAAATTAAAATAAAACCTTCCATCTACTACTTTAAATAAAATTTGGTTCCCTATGTACATATGTATGAAAATCTTGGCTTATCCATGCAATCTTCGGTTTTATTGCAGGACGAATCTGGCGGTTATATAGTGCCGGACAACATCAAAAAGGAAATCGAAGATCCCACAGATTTTGGTATTATTTCGACGGTACCTGTGCTGGCATCCATGTCGGCACCCTTGCCTGTGCCGCCGCCAGCGATCACAGACTTGAATCAGCCACTGCCACCTGGCGAGGACTAATGACGCACGATACTTCAAACACACTACTTTAGTTTAAGCACAAAAATTGTTACCGTATATTAGACAGGCAAAAAATATATATTTAAACAAATTGCAACGAATTTTTCTATTTAGGCGACCTCCGCTTCCATTTTCTTATCGGAAAGAGCAGCCAATATATTCCTTGCAGTTATGCGCGACATTTCCTTGCGTGTCTCAATATCGGCGCTGCCTATGTGCGGCAATAGTACAATATTCTCCAGTTCTAAGAGTGCATCATTCAATGGCAAGGGCTCTGGGGTGGTCACATCTAAGCCGGCGGCCTGTATGCGTTTCGTCTTCAGTGCATCGCAGAGCGCTTGCTGATCCACAACACCACCTCGCGCTGTATTTATAAATATGCAATTCGATTTCATCTTCTTGAAGGCTGACTCATTAAAAATCTCTTTCGTCTCAGGTGTCAAGGCGCAGCAGACAATTATAAAGTCCGATTCGGTAAGCATCTCATCGAAACTCACACGTAGTGCATTTATCTTCGCTGCCTCCGTGGCGCGCTCACTGCGGGTCGTGTAGGTTATCTGCGATGGCTTAAATGGCACTAGTCGCGCTCCTATCTCTTGACCAATGCGCCCAAAGCCATAAAGCCCAATGCGTGTGTTCTTCAAGCCCTGCCCACACATCCACATGGGCGCCCAGGACTTCCAGCCGCCATTGTACACTTGTTTGCTGGCCTCGAAGAGGCGTCGGTTGGTGGCCAGCAGCAGCGCCAAAGTCAGCTCGGCGGTGGCATCAGTGAGTACGTCTGGCGTGAAACCGACACGTATGCCACGTTTCTTGCATTCGTCAATGTCTATATGTTCGTAGCCCACGGACATAGTTGATATGCATTTAAGTTGCGGTCCAGCGGCATTCAGAACATCGGCATTTATTTTATCAGAGAGGGTACAGAAGAGTGCATCTTTGCCTGCTACTTGACGTAGCAGTTCCTCACGTGGCACGGGCAGAGGTTGCGACCAAGTGCTAACATTGCAGCTGTTCAATTAAAAAAAATTAAAACGGGGTATATGTACATATAAGCTGGGATTTTAAAATTAAGTACGAGAATACAATTTGTGTTTTACCTTTTGCGTAGCAGCTCCAGGCCACTGGAATCCACATCAGGGCGGGTAACGTAGACAGTCTTGGACAAGCTCATAGCTAAGCGCGTCGAGGTAGAAAGTCTTCTGACGAATTGTGAGATGAGCCGGGATCGCATTAAAACAGCCAAAAATAACGGGTGTCGAGCAAATCAACTCCTAACTCTGACTCTCTGATAAGGGGTTACCGCCATTACAGTTGTAAAGCCAACAGTCCGGCAGCACTATAATCGTTTTCACATTCTCCAATACTACAGATTTTAGGAGTAGCTTTTAAATTACGGAACAATTTCTTTTATATTTAAAACTTATTGTATTATATTGCAATCTGAGCGGCTCAAATAACTTAAGTCTTATTGCTAAACCGGCTGTCTTAAAATTACTCTTTATGCGCAACTCTGCCGATATTATTATGTATTAAGTCCCACTATTAATTTAAAACAATTGCCTCACAAAAATCACCGCAAAATCATTGAAATGCAAGTCAATCACCCAATATTCGGATAATTGGTTTAGAGTTTAATGTGGAACTTAAACTTATTTATTACAGCATGTACAGAAAATAATTTTTGTTATGAATTACAGCAATCAAAGCATCGATTTTTAAAATTATTCACATTATGGGCGAGACTTTAAATCTACGAGTACATTCGGAAACTGTGCTCGATCGAATTTATCCTATGTGTGGTGTTTCCGAAAATTTGAAATGATTTGTTTTCTTTATTTGGTTCGTTTCATCTTTTGAAATCGGCAATCGATCTGGCAGCTCTGACACAATTCACAGCTTCAGTTTTAACAGCTGTTTTGTGTTATTGCTCTGGAACATATTTCATAGCCGGTAGCGTGCAGAATTCGCTTGTGGATGCCAAATGCATGGCATACGTCATATTTCGAAGCTCCTGAAAACGTCAAGTGTTCATATCTTGCCTGTCGTGGACCGCTACAATAGTCTGCGTCACATAAAAACGGTAGTCAGCCGCATGCCGTCCGTCACAACAACTACAACGGCAGCAACAATTGATCCAGCCATTATTGCAGCGCTTGGACAGCCACCGAGGATGCGTGAGAATCCAGCATTTACTAAGGTGGACAATCCAGAATTCTACAGCATTTTTACGCCCGAATTGGAAGCTCTGGTAGGGCTTTTCAAGAAATACAATTATGAGCTGAGAATTGCAGGTGGCGCCGTGCGCGACATTTTGATGAACATAAAGCCAAAGGACATTGATTTCGCCACTACAGCTACTCCGGATCAGATGAAGGAGATGTTCACAGCGGAGGAGGTGCGCATGATCAATGCTAAGGGTGAAAAGCATGGAACAATAACCCCACGTATTAATAACAAGGAGAATTTTGAGGTAACAACTTTGCGCATTGATGTGCGCACCGATGGACGCCATGCGGATGTGGTTTTTACAACAGATTGGCAGTTGGACGCAAATCGCAGGGACCTTACTATAAACTCCATGTTCCTGGGTTTCGATGGCACTGTGTATGATTACTTTTTTGGCTACGAGGACTTGCAGCAACGTCGCGTTGTTTTTGTAGGCGAAGCCGATGTGCGCATAAAGGAGGATTACTTGCGCATTTTGCGTTATTTTCGTTTCTATGGACGGATAGCCAGAGATGGTAGCTCTCATGATGCAACGACTTTGGCAGCAATTGCTGAAAATGCCGCGGGATTGGCCCGTATTAGTGGTGAGCGGATTTGGACGGAGCTCCAGAAAATTGTTGTGGGCAATTATGCGCGTGAGCTTGTCCTGGAGATGCACAAATGTGGCCTTACTGAGCATTGTGGACTGCCGGCGCAGCCGAATGTTGCCGAATTCGAACGTCTCTGTGAAGACTTGCAAAAGTTTGATCAACCACATTATCCCATATTATTCCTAATTGCTTTGCTGCACACCACCGAAGATGCCATGAAGATGCACGAGCGCTTAAAGTTGTCCGCCTATGAGCGTGATCTAGCTTTGTTTATAACGCAACAGAGGGAGCGGGTAAATTCAACTTTCCAGATAAATGAGGGTCGTTCCTAATTCATTTATTTTTGTTTCCAGATCGGTACCGAGTACAATACCTTACGCGACTATCAGAAGCTCAGCCTACAACCGAATGCAAAACGGGACTATGTGGAACAACTGCTTAAGTATGCAAACAAGGCTGAGCTATACAATCAACTGAAAGCATGGCAAACACCCAATTTTCCTATTAATGGACACACATTGAAAAGTCACGGCCTCGTCGGAAAGAAAATGGGTCTGGTGCTAGCGCAGCTGCGACTCATCTGGGCAGACAGCGACTTTTTGCTAACGGCAGACCAATTAATAGAAAAGCATTTACCTGAAGTTCTGGAACAGCTTCGTACGCCTCCTAGCACACCCAACAAGAAACAACGGACAAAATAATGTAAATGCCTGAGCTTGTGTTTTGTTCACTATCGAAATATAATTATGTATATAATACATATATATTTAATCTTTGTGAAATATTTGTATGGGACGCGTAAATCCTACCTCACAATGTTTAGGGACGCCCATTAGTTCCATCTTGCTAAAGCCAACCTCAGGGCTCAGCAAGTATTCGGTAAACTCAGTAGGAAAGAATTTGATTGCATTGTAATGTTGTCGTATTTGTTCCTGAAATGGAAAATAACACAGAATTACAAATAGATTAGTTATAAATTTAATTACTAAAAACTATATATACTTACTGTAATGGCTTTGCGACGTTTGTAGTTCTGAAACGCCTGTGGTTCGAGAATTAATTTTCCACCCGGAAGCAGCTGCAGAAACATGCGTCGAAAAGCTTGCTTTAAGCCCGCATCACCAAACTGGAGATGAATCCATTTGGTCACTGAAAGGCACAATATAACATCGAATTTGGGACGTTGCACTTCAAGCAAAACGTCATCGTCCAGAACGTAATTGCCATAAATAAATTTTACGTTGAAAGGGAACTTGTTTTCCGCTCTCTTTGATGTTGTAGCGTTCTCCTTTTGCTTTAGAATATTTAGTTGTGTCTGTGCAATCTTGATCAGCTTTCGATCTATGTCTAGACCAACGAGGCTTTTAACACCGTAACGCTTGGCTATCTCGATTGTTAAATGGCCAGTATTGGAGCCAATGTCCAATAGTATTTTATCCTTAAAAAGCTCCTTGTGTGTGTCGATCACATCCAATCGGATGTCGTGAAACACATTGTCCAAAAAACGTTTGCCATAATAATTTTTGTAGTTGCCATACATGTATTTTGTCTGCTTCCTTCGCTTTTTTGCGTCACTATCAGCATTGTTGGCGTCCAGTTGTAAACGTTTTTTAGGGGACTGTGGGGCCTTCTTTTGTACTGCGGTGGCGATGCTCGTGGACTGAGTTTTCGCTATATTTTCCAGTTTATCTGCGAGTTTTGAGCTTTCCAGGTTATCTACTTTATTTGCAATCTCAGTATCTTCCGTAGCAGGCATGTGCAACTTCAGTCTTTTCGCTTCTTTTGTGTTATCGTCGTTTGTTTCTTTACGTTTCTCAGCATTATCGTTATTAATTGGAATACCATCTGTGCTCTTAACAATTACTATATTGCTTTCAACTTTCAACTTAATGGGCGAATTTGTTCCTTGATGATTTTGTTTCTGAATCTCTTCGGTTATCACCGTATTGTTATTGTTTGTTTCCACTTCCATGGCGAAATCTAAGCGATTACAATGGTTTGCTTAATACGGTTTTATTTGATTTGCATCTAGTTGCAATATGAAAACAACATCTATACAAACCTTCTGAAGAACTAGTTTAAAAAAAAAACTTGCCCCGGCTTCTAATTACTAATAATAGTGCAGAAATGGATGCGTTTTTAACAAACAAAACGAGCGGCAACTAATGGAAACAGCTGTTTCAGCAGTGTTGGTAAATTGCACTTTTGTGAATGAGTGGTAGCACTTTGCAGAGTACTTATATTTAAGTAATAAATAGGGCACACTCACATGTTTACAAGCTTCCGCAGGTGAATGTATTTAAAAAAGGCGAAAAATAAAACGTTATTTAAGACACGTGGAAGGCATTTTGATCTCATTTGTGATCACATTGATAGTTATTGATTTTCAGGAACGCAACAATGAAGCTCATATGTTCATATAAGCCTATGCTGCGTCTGCTGTCTTTTATCTCTCGAGAATAGAGAAGCACGAATATATTTAATAAGAAACTATTTTATTGTCTTTCTAGATATTGATCTACTTAGTCATTTAATTGCACCAATTTTCAAAATACTTTGTCCACTCAGTAGAAGCTACTTCCAATACAAGATTTTTGAAAGATTAAATGGCTTCTTAACGGGAATAAAAATAAGTAATTGGGAGCCAAGGCGAATCTTTAGGCGGGATGATCCATTAATTCCATGTTTTGGGTGCTCCAAAAGTCCTCTATTGCATTGCCTTGATGATAAATAATTAATGTTTGGAGGATAAATATTAAAAACTTTAAGCTATGCCTTCTTTACTTTAGGGTGCATCCTAGGACTATGTGCTGTGGCATTCTATTGTAATCAATTTAAATGGATCTACAACTTCTTGCTAGGATAACGTAGGGCTAAAATTAAAAAAATTAACGGATTTCAAACTATTTTTTTTGCCGAGATAAGCTTTTCAATTGGTTTTATGAAAAGAATTAGCGCTTGTATCAGACATCAAACAAAAAATATTACGATCCAAATGACTCATTTGATCTGAAAACTCTAGAATTTCCAATGCTCGAAATATGGTATAAAAGGCAATCTAGGTATAAGGTCATTAGTAAAAGTTCAAAATAAATGTCAAATTTAAAATATTTGAATTCAGCAAATTTTGTAACATATAGTATTTAAAGGTGATTAAATTCACGCCAAGGGCATGCAATATGCAAATGATGCTGTTGACATACCCTCCCCTTACACAACAGACGCATGCGAAATCAATCGATTTATAGCGCTCGGTTTTATTGATTTTGTGCATTGCAGCTCTAGGGTTTATTTTCGAAGCCTGCTGCAACTGTTACAGTTGTTGGCGTTTCGTTATTTTTCTAAAATTTGCATAACAACGCCCGAGGCTAATGGAAAAAATACGCAGTGAAAAATTAAATCCTTGCCATTGTTAGCATTTCCGTTAAATAATACGAATTTCGAAACTTGAAACCTCTGACCATATAGCACGAGCCACACAACGACAACGACGACTTGACCCCTTTGCGGAACAGACAGCATATGTATTTTAAAAATTATGGCGATGCTGCTTCCCCGCATTATTTGCGGACGTCTACGCGTGGACCAGTGGTCAGTTGAAGGGCCTGGAAGAAAGGGTTGGTTGTCGAATCTCATTGAGCGATCGGCGCGTGGCAAGTTTGCACATAGGGCTGAATGGTGTTGAAGGTACGCCATCAAATATTCTAAAATAATAAGGTGGTGCGAATGTCCGCGTCACACATTTAGTTTTTGTTCTAATCTATTTCTAACATAATAGAAACAGATGATTAGTGCGAGACATACACCACATATGTGAGACTCAGCTTGGCTGAGTATGTAATGGAATGTATTGAACTATGCGAACTATATGCCAGAATTCTTCAGTTATAGCATTAAAAAAAAAAACATTCTAAATCAAATTTCAAAACTTCAAGCATAGGTATAAAATATCCTGATTGCACAACCCTAGTTAACCGCAGATTCTTTAACTTTATCAAAGAGTTCTCTCTTAGTTCTTGTATTCCCATGTTTCCTGTGTTATTGTTTACACTATTTTATTTGTATAAATTTATCTCAAGATTTGTCAACGTAACAGTCTCCGACTTTCTGGTAGAACTTTAAAGCTTTTATAAAAATGATAACTTTGAAAATTTCACAAATTTTATTCTTGTTGTTGGTGATAGTGAAGGGTGCTATTATTTATTATCATGGAACCGCTTCTATTCTCAATTTATTGCCGACACTTCATTAAATTCGTATTCAATTTATGTGCACTTTTTGGGAGATAAAGTGCCCCTTTTATGTTCCAAACAAACTCCTTAAGTTCTTCCATAAAAGTCTCAAGCAGAGTGCATTGATAGGGGAGAAAGATAAATTTTTAAATATAAATTTAAAAAACCCGAATACGGATGAACTGTGCACAAGACACTTCCCATAGAAACTTGTCTGAATTAAATTTGAATAAAGCATTGCGTCTGGCGCAGAAATATGCGGCAAGGGTTGAGAGCATCACCTACTGGACCCTGGACCACAGCATGGCTAGTCGACACTCATGCGCGGAATCGAAAACCAGTTTTGAGGAAGCAACGAAAGGACGAACACAAAAACGGATGCAACATCTATTAAAACTTCAAATGACTTGTAGTTATGGTGCGTTGCAGCTTCCGTCCAAAATTGATGGATGGGTCACGCACACACAAACAGACACAAGCACACACATGCAAACACACGCACACACACACGCATACACACACGCATACACACACTCATACAGCATATGCAGCATAGGAAATGAAACTCAAAACCCGTTTACCATAAAGCTGCACAGCGTCCGGCATTTAATCGCAAGCCACACTGCACATGCGCAGCAATACAACAACAACAGCCAAAAATTAGAAAGGATTTGCTTGGCCAAATCCTTGGGCTCACATTTAAATTTGAATAAAAGTTGTAAATTCTGCCTAACCCTGAGGGGTCGTCGTCGCTGTCCATGGCGCGCGTAGCTAACAAGCGCATGCAAAAGTTGACAACATGCGTCCGTCCGTCCGTCCGTTCGTCCGTGCGTGCATAGCCAAGGGTCCACCAGTCAGTCCAACGGTCCACTGGCACACCGTCCAAGGATCACCTTTGTGGAATTGGACTTTCGAATTTGGTAGGTAATTCAATATAACAGAAAAGGGGTGGCAAAGGGTTGTTGCCATAAAGGTAGCTTTATAATTTTAGGTCAGCGTTTTGGTTTACTCCTATTTTTGAATATTTAACTTGCTCGCACGCACAAAATGTAGCTTCAAATTATTTTGAACCGAGGTCAGATGAGCGAGTGAGTGGCTGGCTGGCAGGCTTGGATGCAGTTGTTGCTGTTGTTGTTGTAGTTGTCACAACGGTCATCTGCACGTGCAGTGAATGCTGATGGATATTGAAATTTTATAATTAAAATATTTTTCCTATTGTTGACATTTGGGCTCACATTTATTCGGGTTGTTTCTAAATACGGTTACATTTACGTTCGTAGAAGAAAAATAAGAGATAGCTTTTCCGATTAATAGACGCAAATGCATCTACAACACATATAATGCTAAGCCGACCACCCTTAAAAAACAATAAATCCATAATTATTTAGATAAAACAAAGCACTTATCACAGCCAGCACAAATTTTTAATTGTGAAGCATTTCTTTGAAACCCAATTCTATTTGAAGTTGAAGATGTACAAAAAATGGTAATGGTATTATATTATTGATGCCTCTGGATCGTTGAAGAAATTTACAGCTATTTGAGCTTGTCTCACAAAATAATTATAGGAAAAAGAAATTGCAATGTCAAAAAATCAAATGCTATTGAAGAAAAGGAACTATCACTAGAAAAATATTAGACAGATCTCAATAAAATGCATGCAAACATTTTTGACAGAGCTCATTACAATGCTTGGATTCTTTTACAGGACTGTAATCTATCAAGAGCTCATATTTCTCAAACTAATAAATAATAAGTAAATAAAATATCGGTATCTAAAATATCAATAATTATATGTCAACTAATTAGCTTCTAGAAGAAGTCCAGCTTAAACCCGGATTAATATTTCACAAACTGCCACAAAACTCGAAAATGTGGAGATAAAAATATGTTAGTTAAACTATTTTTTGCTATTTTTGTGTTTTAGCTGATTATTTAAGAAACCTTAGTGTAGTTATTGGACATGTACTTCTGAACTATGAGCAGAAGTACCCTTGCTGTCTAGGTTAGGTTAGGTTAGGTTAGGTTAGGTTAGGTTAGGTTAGGTTAGGTTTAGGGATTAGATGATTGGATGTTTCGTTTGAAAAACTTGCGTTGTCATCTAAATAGAAACTATAAACCTCCAGCTATGATTTTTATACATTGTTGATATTACGGGGCATATTTATGCATTAACTATTGAAATGATTTAAAAGAATTGGAATTCAAATATTGCAAATAATGGTATATCTAAACATTTTAGTATTATTTGAAATTTTGTCATTAAAAATTGGCAACTATAGAAAAGAACCTAAAATAAGAGACACGACCTCTGTCCCATTGTCTCTGGGCTCATTAATCTGCATGACTATTGCAGGAGTAGCTATAAATTTAACTTAATATGACATTGACCCAAAAACCAAGCAGTTCAGTGAGGAATAGCCTCGGTTCGCACAAAAGTCTTCACGGGTGAATGGATTTCCAAGTTCAAGCTGGCATAACAAACCCCCGAGGACGAACTCTGAACTACCCCGCGCGCCGAGGTCGGGTCAATGAAAAATCGTTCAGTTTTTGAGGCAAAAATCATTAGATTCGTCACAAAAAAAGGAATAGCAGCAGAAAACAGGAAAGGATAAGCAAGGGTTGCCAAAAGAAAAAACAACAACGTACATAGAAATAAGGAATACATTGAGCGGTCGGTCATAGGTAAGATCAGTTGCTTTTGTTTGCATTTCACCTCCGTGCGTAATTTACTGTGAACCCGACGATGACTATCTCTGCTGAAGGCCTACACTCGGGGGTTGGGATTGTTGCAGCATCCACTGATGCTTCCTTCTCTGGTATTTTGTTGCTTTTACGTGCATAATACGCTCAAAAAGTGACATCATAAGACGTGACACATTTGAACCCAAGCCCAGGACCTCACTAA